CTACTAGAAATCCGAAAAAAAGAGACCAACAATTTGCGACCAAAATTGGTCTATCAAGAAAAGCGACCAAAGTTGGTCGCTAAATTGGAGAAAATTATTAAATAATTATTCTAAATTGATTCATCGACTTACAACCTACTCAGATGCATCACTGAATATTAAAAACAAAATGTCTCGATTTATATCAATTAATATGTTAAATTGATTCGTCGACTTACAACCTAGTGATGAATGAATGTAATTCATTAATTCTGTTATAATACAAATAATGAATACTATTATATCAATTAATAGAATAATATTATATTGGTTTATCAATTCATTAATTATTCGTACGTAGTAATGTATAAGATTGATCATCAATTACAATATAGATTATGCGTGTATATGAAATTACTCATATACTTAAATATAACTTAAAAAATTACTTTATATAGATGCTATTATAATCTATTAAAAGTAATTACATAGTTAATAATTATTTATAATAATTGTAGTTAAATAAAATAAATATTTATAGCTAAAAATAATTTTTTTATAGCTTATAATATTTAAAAACCAAAAAAGAAAAAAAAAACAATTTTTTTTTAAATAGCGACCAACGTTGGTCTCTATTTTTGGTCAAACGGTGAAAACTTATTTACAGACCAAAAATAACGACCAAAGTTGGTCGCTTTTCCTAATTCTAGAGACAAAAACGGGCCCCCCCCCCCCATATCTCTTATTTCCTTCCCCAAAATTTCTCCCAACTCTCTCTTTCCCTCCCCTTCTCTATTTCACTCACCCAAATCCCATCCCCCACCCCGCGCCACCACTGCCCCCCTTGCTCGCCGCCGCCTCGCCGCCCACTGCTCGCCGGCCACCACCACTGCCGCCCCTCTCTCTCTCTCTCTCTCTCCTTCTCCACCTAAAAAAAACCAAGGTTAGAATTATAACCTTCAATCTTTGTTATTTCTAGTGTGTGTGTTACAATATTTGATGTATTGTAGTTTATTGTTTCAATTAGTGTTTCAATTCTTTGAACATTGTATTTTATTGAGGATTAGGGTTTAGGTCTTGTTTTAATTAGTTTTGTTAATTAATTTTATTAACTAATTAGTTTAATTAGTGTTGAATTTAGTTTAGTTAGATTTGAATTATACTTTGTATTGTCTTGATAGTTTAGTTCTTTTGATTAGCATTTTAATACTTTTGTCACTCAAATCATTGTCTGAATCCGAAGAAATATCACCAATCCCATTAAGCTTGTACGGATCAGACTTGGAAGAAAGTTGAGAATAAAACTTCCTTTCGTCTTTGTCATCACAGAGTCTTATGATCCCCGTTTTATGGGAACTGCCATGAGCAACGGACAACTTTCCATCACTATCAACCTTGTCACTCTCAATTAAACTTCTTTTCCTCTTGGAAAATGAAGTAGAGAATTCCTCTATAACCACTTCTTTTATCTGCTTAGGAAATGTTAAATTCCTACCTACACCATCACTGTTTGAAACACATGCCATTGCCTTCTCATCATCATTGTCGCGAATATAAACAACAATTGATCAAAGAAACACCCTGTCAGGTACTGTATCCAAGTTATTCACTGTATCCAAGTTCATCCCAAGTAATATTACTACGAGGATAATCACCAAAGCCACCAGACAGCTTTATGATGCCAATGAAGCAAGATGAGCTATTCAATGAGACTCGTATTGTAAAGAAGAAGAAAGAGACTGATCCAGAAAGGTGGGTCGAGGGCCGAGCCTCGACTGTACATGTAAGTTTTTTACTTTTCATTAAGTATTTTGATTTACTTTTCTATAAATTTTGAAATACTAATTCAATGTAATTTTTCTTATAGGGTCACTTCACAGCTGACGTGGAGGAATTCATACACAGTCAGCCACCTAATGGGTCGGGCGAGGCAATCCAACTTTCGAACAAGGATGCTGAAAGAACACTCCTCGAGTACTTTATATACTTTGAACTAGACAATAGAACCGGTTTTCGAATGGGCTTGTAATAAGCGTTAACTTAGTTTTGTTAGCTTAATGTGTTAGTTCTATTGAACTTTATACTTTGTTGGTTTTAATGTTGTTGTTGTTGTTGTGTTATTGTTGGTTTTGTTGTTGGTATTGTTGTTGCTATTGCTTGTAATAGGGAATTTAGTATGCTGACAGGTGGTGTAGCTGCCAAAACAGGCAGTTTCTGCCAAAATTATACCCATCGCTTTTCTGTTTAAAAAAATATTTTCTGGGCAATAACGACCAAGGTTGGTCGCTAATTAACCCAAATTTCCTAAAAAGCGACCAACTTTGGTCGCTATTCTATTTAAATTTTTTTTTGGAAATTAGCGACCAATTTTGGTCAATTATGTTAAAAAAAAATTAAATTCTTGAAATTAGCGACCAATTATGGTCGCTTATGTTTAAAAAATATTAAAAAAATTAAAAAAAAAGCGACCAACTTTGCTCGCTATTTTCCAGATTTTAAAATATAATATTTGGTTTACAGACCAAAATTGGTCGCTATATTTTGAATAATAATAAATAATAAAAAAACGTAATTTAAATATAGAGACCAACTTTGGTCGCTAAATTTATATTAATATTAAAGCGACCAAAGTTGGTCGGTATATTGTTTACCAGAATATTTGGTCCTTTTACCTTAGAGACCAAAGTTGGTCGTTGATCGCTAATTAGCGACCAACTTTGGTCTCTAAGGTAAAGGGACCATCAAAATAGCGACCAAACCAGTTTGGACGCTTTTTGGTCACTTTGTGACTTGTAAGCGACCAATTTTGATCGCTTTTTGTGGTTGCTTTTTTCCGGATTTCTAGTAGTGTTAATATATGATATTGCGTTCAATTTATGTTCTTATATACTAAGTACATATAGCTTTACAATCATCAGAGCCGCATTATTCAAATAATTGGTAATTTATAAATGCAACAAACAGTTAACAAGAACTTTTTTTTGTCAAAAATACAGCTTTAATGCAACCAAAAATCAGTAGAAATAACTCTCTCAGGAAAAAAATAAGAGGATAAAAATCAGAACTCCCATTACTATCAATCTAAGCAAACTAAAAAAATTCTAAAAAAATCAAGCAACTGGATGTGGAATCAAAGGTTCTCAAACCATAGAAACATTATTTGTTGTGAGCAAATCTCAGCAAATAATTACACCCACTATTAATCTGCTCTTTTACCCTACCATTTTTTTTTAATGTGCAACATATTGTAGTACCAAAAAGAAAAAATACAAAAAAAAAAGAAAAATGAATAATGATTCAAGCAAATGACACACTAAGCCACGAAAAATATATATAATCCTGTATCAGGAGTAGCTCCATGATATTTCACTACTTTCTCCTATCCTTCACACTTCTAATTCAGCTTCATCTTGTTTCTTACAAAACCATCAAAGCCATTGTTAGGCCCACGCTCGTATAATCCTATTCTCTTTTGGTCTCCATTCCTATTCGAATTTCAGGCATATGTTCTGTGGGGGTCTAATAATGAGTTTATTTTCTGTGCTGGAGATATGGAAAAGGCCTTATATTTTTTAATTCTGATAGCATACAATATTTTCCCAGCTCATGCATAACATTGTCCATGTTTTCATTACTGTTTTCTGTTTTTCAGGTTAAATGACCGATGTTGCCATGGTTTTTGCATAGCAAGACCAAAGAAGGAATATGCATTGATAGAGATATTTCATAGTCCTGAACAGGTACTTTTGCTATGCAAAAACCATGCCAATATATATGTTTATACTAAGAGTGGCTTATGAGTGCCTTGATATAGACTGGAGTTTGAGTATAAGATGCATTTTCTACTATCTGATAGAAAATTACTGATTTCATCTGACAACATCCTGGTTTCTTTCTTTTGAGAATGCTCAGATTTGGCCGGGAAATTGAATTTCTTGCAAATGCTGTTATTACTTTTTAAGACATTTGTGAAAGGATACAAACTGCGGCAGAAGGATTTACGTCAGTAGTCAGAATCATTTTCAAGATGAAGAAGAGGCTTGCATGGATAACATTAGTGATTGTTTCCACTGCAGGATCGCATAACAACTCTATTAGGCCTCACGGGGGAAGGGCAAATAGACCCATTTTGCCTTCAGGACCAATTTCTCTTGTGCACGAGACCACTACCTTTTACTAGTTCTTTACAAGCCTAACAAAGAGCAATTCAATATAAAGAGAAGGAAATGACTTTCCACAACCAATAACCAATGAGGGACACTTTGTCTTTCACAAAAGACAAACAAGTATAGAAGGAAAAGGGACCATAATGAAATCTTTGGCTTTGCATTATCAAGAATTCAAGATTAATAATACCAACAGCATCTATCAGGGTATATTGATTGCATTGGGTGAAGAGAGGGAGTGTCTTATTCTTCAGTACTTGAGTGCAGTGGAAGTATGATAGGTTGTCATATGCTGCATGCAGTGAAGGCTTGACTTATTAGAATGTTAAGAGGTTCAAACATGTCTTATCTTACGCAGAATTCTTCAGCAAATAAAAGGGTGGGGTTTTTGTTGAGTGGAGATCATCAATTTCATGAATAAACATAGTCAGTGGAGAAATAAAAAAAAGAAAATTTAGGATTCTTCTTCTATTTCTTGGTCCATAGAAAAAAGTTAAAAAAAAAATAAAATAAAAAAAGTAGCTAGTTCCTCGATTCAAACTTCTTACACCTTTCTTCCTTTTTGTGCCCTTCATTAGCTAGAAAATAAAAAGGAACACGAGATCTCTAGGAAATGTTTCAGCTTCTCCTGTGGTACTTCTCAATAAGTTCTTTTAAGTGTTAGATCTTTAAGGCTTTCTTTCAAGATGAACTTAACCGCAAGAAAGCAGTCTGTGTTTCGACCTTAAAAGTCCTATCTCTTGCTTTTTGTTAATTCAGTAGTATCAAAGCATATTGAATGTATAATCTGACTAACATATGACATGGACTCTTCAACAAAGGAAAAAAGGAACTCTTCAAGACTGCAGAGCAGAGTACAGAAGCATCTAATATATATGAACTCATATTGAGAATTATAACAGAGCAAACCATCCAGTCATTAATGTTTAGCCTGCAAGAAAATTAAAAATATATATAAAGAAAATAACAATCAATTCGACCCACGCGAAAGTTAGGTCCTTTAATCATTATAAGGAACTGAAAAGGGACTCCAGTTGCTAATGAACAAGTTACAAGTGATCTCCTCTTGCTTAGCACTGCTAGTCATCACACGCACACCATTTTCTCTTGACTAGCGCGAGCAGCTTTCTTCAAATTGACATTCAATCCCAGCTGCAGCAAGGAAAAGGAACTCATCAGGATTCTTGAACCAGATCAATGATGTCTAAGGCAACACAAGAAAACATAATGTAATAAGTGGGTTGCGGACTTCTTTGACTATATTCTTTAAATTTTTTACACTTCGTAAATTATAAATATATTTCAAGAGGCAATGTAAAATAAGAGAAGAAATGGAGCACATAAAATATACAACGAAATTTAAACTGATTTCCGAGCAATAATTTGAGACTGTTCGAGTCTTACCGACAATTATCAGTGATGATACTAAGGCAATCATTTCCCATGCTCGCTTGCTCTTCTTGAATTTCATTCACAGATTTTGCAGCGGAAATACTGCATTCATGCAACTCTATTGACGCCAAGGTACAAATTTCCCCCAAGTCTTGAGGGATTTCCTCCAGGTAGTAGCATCTCTTCAGAACTAGGCGTTCCAGCCTTGGGAAGTTAGCACTACTAGCTTCCCAGTGCTTCAGATTTATTGCGCTGATTAGGAGGAACTTAAGTTGATTGAAAGCCTCTTCATCATTTAATTTCCATACATCACCATCAAATCCATTGTATTTAATCTTAAGCTCTTGGAGGTTTGGCAACATTACAATGTTTGCCATGTCTTCCCATGGTAAACTAGTATAACTTAAAGTCAACCTCTTCAGACATAAAGGCAAAGCGAACTTACTTGGGATCCGGGGAAGTTGTAGTCCGTCACCATTGAACTTCAACGTTTCAAGTTCTTTTAAGCAGGAAAGACTATTTAGGTACTGGGACATCTTCCTTCCCTCGCATTCCTCCCAATCTCCGTGAACTTTCAGCCTCTTAAGATTTGGAATAGCAGAAAACAATTCAGAAGTACAGCTGGACAAACATAGACAAGAAAGTCGCTCCAGATTTTGTAGCTTGAAACCAGGCTTTACCTCTCTTGACGTAATAGGGAAAGAAAAGAAGTCAGTCACGTGAAGATGCCTTAAATGTTCTATTTGCCAAATTGTTTCAGGTACTCTTGACATATATAATCGTTGGTGATGAAAAATGAAGGTCTGCAGATTATAAAGCTCAGACACTAACCTGTGAATATTATCTTCACAGTATAATTCAAGGTATCTGAGATGTACTAAATTTGTTATCACAACTGGAAAATCTTGAAAGCAACAATTATGGATTGCCAACACTCTTAGCAGTTTGAAGCGCTCCAAAAGAGGAAATCGACTTAATCCATGGAACAAGTGCACTGTTCGAGCGAATGATGAGTCCCAGAAAGCAGCGCCATAAGCATATGAATGGATGGTATAGCGACGAACACGAAGCTTCCTTGCCGAAGGAGTAACCTGCAGGAACTTCTCCTTCTCAGCTTCTCTTAAAATCAAGTCACGAATCAGATCATGGACACCACAAGTTTTCCCCTCACCATTAAATCTCCGCTTTCTAACCATTATCAGATTCCTACTAACAAGATCCTCCAAACAATCTTTTCCCACAAATTCTTCCAATAGAAAACCCTCAGAAACCCATAAGTTGATCAATGTCTCAATGTTAACCTCACTATCTTCTCGGAAAACTCCCATATAAAGGAAACACGGTTTAAGATGATTAGGTAAGTAATTGTAACTCATAGCAAGCACTCCTAGACATATATCTGATTCATTAGAAACAACCTTACTTACACTTTTGGCAACTTCTATCCAACTTTCTCGTGTTCTAGCAATTTTAGAGAGATGCCCTGCAACCACTAGAATAGCTAAAGGTAGTCCTTGGCATTTTTGTGCTACTTGCCTCCCGAGATCCTCTAATTCAGGAGGACAAACCTGTTCTACCCCAAACACCTTTTCATGAAGTAACTTCCAACTTTCATCTGAATTGAAGAGTCTCATCTCATGAGGAGTGCTGTTAGGGTCAGCTTGCATTGCGAGATCTTTAAGCCTACTAGTCAAAATAATTCGACTCCCACAGTTGTCGTCTGGAAAAATTCTTGTCATAAGTTCCCAGACTTCACTACTCCAGATATCGTCCATGACAACAAGATACCTCCGACCCTTTAACTTTTTGTATATCGCTTCCATCAATTCATCATCAGTCGATGTTTTTATCTTATTTGTCAGCTGAGAAAGAAAAGAAACAACACCCAACAACAAAACTCTAACCCGATATTCTTGAGATACTGTCACCCAAATATGGATGTCAAAACGATGCCTGATTTCAGGATCATCGTATGCTTTTTTAGCAAGTGTCGTCTTGCCGATACCACCCATTCCCAATATAGACACAATTTCTCGCGTTGAAGGGGGCCCGGTTAATCTTCTCTTAATTTTCAACAAATCGTCCTCAAGACCTACAACAACATTTTCTAGATTCAGATTTGCAACTTCTCTAGATGAATGACCAAGCAAGGAATCACGCATTTGCAGTTCCTCATTTGTAGGATCACCATATCCTTGAAGTTCATTTGTACCAAAACTACTTCCCGTCACATTCCTCTTCACAACATCAATCTTTTCTATAAGTCGAGACAAGGTATTGCGTAATGCCTTTTTTTCCATTGTTTCATTAAGGACATTATTTTTACCAAACCTGCATCCCATCACCTCCCTCTTTAGTGCATCAAGTGTTCTGAATAAAATCTTGGATAATGCATCTCTTTTCATTGTGTCAAATATCTTTAGTTCAATCACATCTTCTGCTTCCTCCACTGCCTTTCTAATCTCTCTCTCCAACTCTTCAACCTTTCCACAATCTTTACTTCCCTTGCTAGTGTTCTCAAGAAAGTCTTGGAAATATTCAAGACTATCAAGGAGAGAGGCCATCAATGTTCTTGTTTCATCACTTAACAAATTTGGCTTTCGCTGAACGAGTTGCTCCAAAGTTCGTATAAGAGAAATCACAGCAACATAAGCCATCTCTATCAATTAGATTCCTAGATCAAACAAATCATCAATTTAGAGAATAGCAACAGTTAATAAAGAGGTCCAAGCCTTATCGAATGCTTACCTAGATTTTAGCTGCAGCTTCTGTTGAATGCTTCTGCAGTTCGGTTCAAACAATACCTGCAAAAGATCAAAATTAATAAGCTGCAGATGTTTGTTGTTAAAATAAGAATATGAGAATCATAAGACCAGATTCTCCCAAATAGAGAAGATATGAAACTGAAAGGTGAACTATGACTGTTGTTGATACCTGAAAAGAAGCCCAATTACGGTTAGATCAATGTGTTCTCTTGATTTCCAGGTTACTAATTTTATGTATTATAAATTTCATGCAATTATCTTTTAGGTAATTTGATAGTGTAAAAATTCTGAGATGAATTTAAAATGGGGAACATAATAAGGATTCATATATAGTCGACCCCAACTTGATTGGGACTGGGGCGTGATAGTTGTTGTTATTGATAGGGCAGAAATTCTTCATCTTTTACACTATCATGTATAGAAATTAGAGCCCGTTGGATTAGCTGATTAGAAGTAGCTGATAAGCATTAAGTGCTGAAACTAATTTAATAAATAAGTAGTTACGTGTTTGAGTACATGTGTTGAAATTGATGATAAGTTGCTGCAGTATTTAATAAAAAAGTGCTGATAAGCTCTTTTTCTGTTAAAATGACTTAAATAACCTTAGGACTGTTTATACTTATAACGGCGTAATTTCTATAAAATTTTAGATTCCAGATCGATTCAAATACAAAATATTCTATTTGTCATTTTATTTTAAATACAACTGTGCTTAGATAAGAAAATTTTTATGATAAATATAATTTATTTTATGAGGAGCATATAATCATAAGTTATAATAATTAATAAATTGGCAAGAGTTTCTTAGTAAAACATAAAAATAGGACAAAATATTTGAAGAGAAACAAACACGGTCTTCATCACCACAACACTAAGAAAATAATACACCAAATATTTGATATGTCCTCATTTATTACATACAGTTCAAAGATTAATTCACAATCACATAGATATAAATATGCAAAAAAATAGAGAATTTGCTTATCTTAAATAGTCAATGAGATTTGAATTCTTCAAGAGCGGGGGGGGGGGGGTGGGGGGNGAAGAGCCGGGGAGAAGGGGGTTGTTTAGGTTGAAAAAATACTTGGGACTGTGAGTATGTAAAAATCTTGATCAAACTTAAAGTGCTTATAAGCTAAAATAGATAAGCCGAAAAGTGCTTATAAGCTAGTTTGACCAGCTTATAAGCTTAGCCAAACACCCTCGTAAGCTCTAAATAAGTGAAAGGCACCGGTCTTGAATGAAGCACTGTTTTACTTTACTATCTAAATTCATTAACTATAATTTTAGAAAAATGAATTTAGAGAGCAGAAAAAGCAGGAGAGTATTAGTAAGAGTTTTAAGCCTCAAATATATTACCTGGCTTTAATTGGGAAGAAGTACAGTTAAAATCTACTAATTGAGACCAACAAATTATAGCCTGCAGAATCCAAATTTCCACTCTGAATGCACTTTGATGCTGAAAGAGAGGGTTAGAAATCACAAAACTGTACTTTTGCCCAACTAATATAAGATGATGATTAGAGTAGCTACAGTTCAGTTCTTGAATCTTTCAAGAGCAGTGACGAAACTGTCCAAAGGGTAGTCTTTTTCTATTAATAAAGCAGGTGAAGCTGAGAGGATTCGTTGACATACCTGCTTGCTAATCAAGGGTAAATCTGGTAAATCATTCTATGTATCTGCTCTTTAGTGTGGTACTTTGTGCAGCTAAATATTGCATTGCTTGATAGATTGACAAAAGAGGCTGACACTCTTTTGTTGACTACAAAAGAGCAGCCCCACTTGGCAGGCTAGTCGCACCACAAACCTTAATTTTATACTAAAAGATATGAACTATGGCAAAGAAAACTGGAAAAAGAGGCAACAAAGATAACTCGTGCAAAGGAGTAGATGTAGTATCTCTCTTAGGCATTGTATCAAACAGTTGGTATGCAACTTTTGTTTCCGAAAATTTTGCATACATACATTGATATAAGAGATGAATGACATTATGGATTCTGCATAATACCCATATTTAGAATTCCAAAATTAAAAAGCAGTTATTCAAAGGAGACAAAATGGAACTTTATGCTCCTAGCAATTGAATTTGATGATAAATAATTTGTGGTAACTGGAGTCAGTTCCAACTTCTAATAAGCGGGCGGATATCATTAGCATATTGAGGTCACTCAAAAGAACATCCAAAATCGCTGCTGCATCCAAAAATCGTATGATTGAAAGGTACTTAAGATATAGTATGTTTTTAATCGTTCTGTTAACAAACTATATTTGAAATGTTACTTGATTTGCTTCTGTGTGTATTTCGACTGTAGTATCACTATTGTTTGACTAGTTTGTATTGGAAAAGAAATGATCGCAGTTAAAGATGTACATTTTTAGTATGTAGACTACAACAGATTTAGTGTGTAGACATCACAAGACAAAGCGACTCTCCAATAGAAACACGCAACATCTTGCTATAAGGATGATGAAAGCATTTTACTTCTTTTTTACCTTTGTTTTCAATGCATCGACTTCTCATGTGATTTGTCCCTCTGCTATCATAAATAGGCCTTATTTATCCCTCGTTTAAGTTTTCTATCAAATATATCCCTACCGTTATACATTAGGTTTATATTTATCCCTTACACGTTAAAAATACCCTCCCATGTTTTAAAATCCACGTGGCATCCTTTTATTGGACCAAATGACCCGCCCCATTTTTTTTTAATTCAAACCCGCCCCGATCCCAGCAACAAAGCCTTATACGTTTTGAACTTTTCTAGTGGGAATGTAACTAACTCTGCATAAGAGACCCACGACTTCTGTAAATTTGGTGAAGACTGCAGTTGTCTTTAAATGCTATTTGGTGAAGATTGCTTCAAACGATTGAAAATTTAAAAAAAAAATACATAAAATATTATTACAATGTTTTAAACATTAGCCAACAATGAAGTTGTTATTAAAATTCAAAATTACTAATCTTTTAGTAATAAAATATAGAACCTGTAATTCTTAAAATAATGATTGTGAAGAAAATGTTCATTTAAGTAATTTAGCACATCAAAGGGAAAGAGAAATTAAAAAAAATGTGCACTTCCAATTACCAAGAACATAATTCAACGAGACGTCCATCTTTAAATGCTATTTGGTGCCAATTTGATTTAGTACATAGTTATAATTAAAAAAAAAACGTATAATCAAGCAGCCTCCTAGCTATACAGAAAAGGGAAAAGATGTAGAGTAGGACGGTAGCTACACTGTTGCTGGGATCGGGGCGGGTTAGAATTAAAAAAAATGGGTGGGTCAGTTGGTTCAATAAAGGGATGCCATGTGGATTTTAAAAGGTGGGAGGGTATTTTTAACGTGTAAGGGATAAATATGAACTTAATGTATAACAGTAGGGATACTTTTGATTGAAAACTTAAACGAGGGATAAATAAGACCTATTTATGATAGTAGAGGGGCAAATCAGACCCTTATCCGTTTTGTATATTTCAACTGATGATTACTCAAAATGACAGAGCTATTTGGCTAATGTTATTAGTACTCTTTGTCTTTGACGGCATAAAAGGACAATCAGGACACCTCAATGAAATTGGTGGCCTAAAGCCAAACAAGAGACCATAATTTATTTAATAAAATTGTACATATTAATAATTTTTTTTTGTTATTAATATAGTTTATGGACCATCTTGTATGTATTTTGGCCCTTCATTTGGTTACCTGCTAGCTTCCACCATCGAAGATATCTAGTAACTATTCTCACCAAGGTTTCGAATTTTAAGAAAATGTTTTTATAAGTTCCCAACATCTAATGATCGTAACTTTATACTACTAAAGTAGATTTTAAAATAATTTTATACATTTGAAATAGTTCAAGTTTATTTGAATTAAAAAAAATTGACTCGATCTACTTATTATAAGAAATAATTTACTTTAAAAGATATTACAAGAGATTTTATATTTATTTTTTTATTATCAATGTTATCATCAAATTGTTATTTTGCCATATTGTATGTTTATTATGAAAATCAAGTAGTTATCTAAATAAAGATACGCATATTGTAAGCTGAAAAAGATATTGAAGCCACGTCAGCAGAGGTCGTTAGAGTTAGTTCAAAAACAGTTAGCACATTGTCAAGTTAGTTAGAGTAGTTAGCTGAATTCAAAAAACTGAGTTGTAATTTTCAATTCCAATCGGGTAGTATAAATAATTGTACTGAGTTCATTATAGGGAATACGAAAAGTATTAATACAATTTTCTATTTCTAGTTCTTCTTGTTCTTCCAATCTTCTTCTCCTCTATTTCTGGGCTGGAACACTCGAGTATCCTCTGTAGATCTTATGTGCAGCTGCTGAATTCTCGAATTATATTCTTGAATTCAAGTGCGGTTAACAAATCAGTTAACATTGGTATCAAAGCTTTCAGATTCTCGGCACTCATGGCGAAAGGAACTAGGTCTAATGGTGACACTATTAATGAAAATTCATCTTCACACATGGATAAATTGAGAGAGATGATGCAGAAAATGCTAGCCGAGATGGGACTCTTGCTGGTGAAGTAGCTCATTTGAAGGACTAGATCAATCAGTACACGAGCTGAGGGAACAAATTACAATTTCTGGAGAAAAGCAAAAGGGAAAGACTCCATCTAAGAATGACGAAGGAACATCTGGAGGAAGGCAATCAAGAGAAAGATCACAAGGTGAAAGGAGTCCTGATTACACTCACAATTACAATTCAAATCCTACTCGATGGTCAAGCATGGAGTTCTTGCGATTTGCAGGTGAGGATCTAAACTCTTGGCTGTTCAAAATTGAACAATTCTTTTCAATGGAAAGAGTACCCATGGAAGAGAGGATTGGAGTTGCTGCTTTACAGTTAGAAGGAGAGGCAATCCAATGGCACTTGTCCTTCATGAAATACAGACAATATGTCTAACCTGCTACTTGGAATGAATATGTGATGCCCTTTGTTGGAAGATTTGGTACTTATTTTGATGATCCTACGGAGGAAATTAATATGATCAAAGAGTTGGGGAGTGTGAAAGAGTATCAAGCTATCTTTGAAAGGAATTTGACTAGGGCGAACTTATCACAGGAGAATGCTATCAATTGCTTCATTGGGGGGCTCAAACCTGAGCTGAATATTGCAGTCAAAATCAGCAACCTTTCAACTGTATCACAAGTATACAAAGCTGCTAGAATGCAGGAGACATATCTCTCAGCCACCAGATAAACTACTGGCCAGTCCACTTATACTAATCCACCAAAGAAGTACATTGAGCCGAAGGGTTATGACAGAACAATCCTTCCTAATCCTAGCACTAGTAAGGTTCATAAGAGGAGATTGAGTCCAGAGGAAAAGAATGAGAAGAGAGCAAAAGGTTTGTGCTTCTTCTGCGATGAAAAGTACACTGTTGGACATAAATGCAAGAATTTAATCAAAGTCAACTCCCTTCTTCTGGCCCAAACCTTTAACAACTAACCTTGCCTTGTACCTGGGCGCAGAGGTATGGTTATCCTGTTTTACTCTAAATATTCATTTGTTTGATAAAACTTTATTACCTTTCGGCAATTTCACTAACTCATATGTGTTATTCTCATGGAGTGACTTCATCTCATCTTCTATGGATTCTAGCTACTGATCTTGTGAGTATCTTGCATGGCTTTATCATAGCTCTCAGGTTCTCCCGTGTTAGTCAAAAGTACATACTCATCAGGAGGATGGCGCATGAATTTTTGTTTCTCCCTTGTAGATCTTCTAAGAAAGGTTTCAGGAGTATTCGAAGTAGTTACCTGAGCAGGAATTGAACGAAGACAAGTCCGACAACAAATGGATTTTTGTCCTGATTGTTAGTTGTTGTCCTCGAAGGGGAGCCTTGGCGTAACTGGTAAAGTTGCTGTCATGTGACCAGGAAGTCACGGGTTCGAGCCGTGGAAACAGCCTCTTGCAGAAATGCAGGGTAAGGCTGCGTACGATAGACCCTTGTGGTCCGGCCCTTCACCGGACCACACGCATAGCGTGGACTGTCCTTTTTTTGTTAGGTGTTGTCTTGATTTTCTTACCATAATTGGATTTTCCTTTTTGTAGAAGGAAATTATAATCTTCCATATTTGGCTAGTCTTTTTTCTTGTAGGAAAACGTTTGGACTTCTATAAATTGAAGATCCTTCCTTCTCATTCAGTAGCATCCACAATGTAGCTACATGGGGTTTGAGAGTCATGTTTAGGGGGAGAACTTTACGGGACAAGTGTTAGTGTATCACTTGTGTTTGCCTCTTCGTGAGGTTGTTCTCTCGATATTTTGTACTCTCTTTTTATATAGTGGATTGCTCATCTCTGCTGTGGAGTAGGTCAATTGACCGAACCACGTTAAATATTTGTGTCTCTTTTGGTAGATTTCTCTTTTGTTGTGTGGTTTATCATCGTTTAACATTTGTTTTGCTAGCTTCTGCATGACACCTGATTTTTTTCGGTCCTAACAAATCAATCAGGCAGTCACAATCTATCATTGTGAAGGACATCCTCATGGTGTTAAACTCAATGGTAATATAGAAAAATTGTTGGGACCAAACACCAAGTACGCTAAAAGAATAGTTTTGTTTTTCAGACACTTTTACCGACAAGGCGACAAGCAGAAATAATCAGCTTCAGCCTGGTGAATAAATATTTTCGGCAGTAATAATCTCCATATAAGCATTTTCAGCAAAATGAACTGCTACATATAGTTGAAAAGCCTTGAAGATCCCGAGTGACAATACCATTGGAGTAGAATCACCCTGGAGTTTGGCTCCATCACCGAGGATTTATTGGTTAAAACTTAAAAGCATATGTTTGGTCACTAATACTACCAACACAACATGAAAAAGATTTACCTATTTGATGAACAATTGAAATATACTCCCTTGTCTCAATTTATATGTTTTAATTAGGATTTCGAAAGTCAAACTAGTTGATTTTGACCGTAAATTCGGAGATAGAATTTTTAAATTTTCATTAAACAAAAATTATATATTCGGAAACTACGTATAAAGTACTATAATCTTTAAATTTTCATTAAACAAAAATTATATATTCGGAAACTACGTAAAAAGTACTATAAGTCACAGTAATTAACAATTTAAAATATCTAAAAGGCATATAAAAATTGCGATAAAAGAAAAACTCTTTTGACTCTCGAAATCCGAACTCCGTCACATAAATTGGGGTTAATTTCACTAATGGTCACTCAACTATGTTTCAATTTCACTAAAGTCACTCAACTATTTTTGTCACTTAAAAGTAACTAAACTTTCACATTGTCAGTTAAGAGTCATTTTGGCTCAAACCCCTACCATAAATATGACATGGCATAAAATTTAATGAGAAAAATCCAAAAAAAATGCCACATAAGCTTAAATGGTCCACACCCACTTTAGATCCATTTCTCCCTTAATGTGATTTAACCCATAACCCAAATGGGTTTCAATAGGGAAAAAACACACACCCCTTGTGATCAC